TAATTTAGCACGCTTTTTTAATTCTAAACTTCTTTCTCTCAGTGCACCGGTTTAATTTGTGAAATAGTCACATTTCGAGATAGTTGAACTTTGCACAAGCAATGATGATTAGTATATCGATGGCTGAGTGGAAGATCGACCTATCTCGGCAGCCAGTTCGAAAACGCCCTATCTCAGAAAATTTTTCAACAACGCTTTATCTCAGACAACTTTTCAAGAACGCCCTACTTCAGAATTTGATTGAAAAACGCCCTAGCTCAGTATTTGGCTGAAGAACGCCCTATCTTAGATGTCGATTCAAAAACGCCCTATCTCAGCATATTTTCAATGCATTTTCTTTTGAGATAGGGTGTTTTTGAACCGAATTCTGAGAGGGGCGTTATTAAACCAAATTCTGAGGTAGGGTGTTTTTCAAATTATGAATTAGGGCGTTTTTCAATCAAATTCTGAAGTAGGGCATTCTTGAAAAGTTTTCTGAGATAGGGCGTTTTCGAACTGGCTGCCGAGATAGGTCGATCTTCCACTCAGCCATCCATATGTACCTAAATACGTTCAAACTGACGTGCACAGAGTTTTACAATTATATTAAGGAAAAGACAGAAGTTTTGAAACAAATTCACAGCAACGAAAAATATGACTGATATTTTAATGTTATCTTGTACTTATATTTTTTTCTTTCATGAAACCTAGAGTACTTATAAGTACAGTGCCGTACAAAATTATTGGCTCGGAGGCTCTTTAATCAGATCACAATTTCTAATCAGATCTTTTAGAAGAATTTTTAAAATGTAGCTTTTGAGTCAATTAATAAAGCGCAAGTCTGAAGTTGCCAGCAAATTTCGTTGATTTTTTGCATTTATTTGTTTTTTTGCTGACAGTGTCTTCCATATAAACAGAATTATCAAACATAGTTTGTATGGAAGAAACTGTCAGTAAAAAACAATACCAAAAATCAACTAAAATTTAATGGGCTGCAAAACTTCATTTTAAACATTTTTATAAAAAGTCTGATTAGAATGTCGCAAATTTGTATGCAAATTTATTGAATTTTCCCGAGTTTAGCACAAAGTTTACCAATTTTTATGTTTTTTCGTATATTTAGTATAAACTGTATTTTTATAAAGAATAAAAAAGGTTCATGCATTGTAAAAACTTCTCTGTGCTTTAGTTGTGATAAGTTGTTTTCTTTTGTTGGCGTACGTTGTAATGATCTCATGATCTCATGTTTTTATGTTTTTGTTTTTGTCTGTCAAAATAAAATTTCCCTACATCCTTTCGCACGTCGAAATGAAAGAGAAGGGAGCGAGAGGCCCTCCCTAAAGTGTCGTGGTTTGGCAACAGAGATATCTGGCAGCCCTATATTAGGCTCTTATGTATCAAAATTTTCAGGTAATAAAAAAAGATACAGTTCGGATGTTACTTGTTATCGTAGAGGTTTTTTTTTTTAATTCATGGCTTACTTTTATAAAATCACATAACGCTGCACCATGGGATTTTGTGGCCAAAAGTCAATTTCTCGACTTGCTTGAAATTAATTTTTTTTTGTCTTATCTTACAGAGAATACTTCAGCGTAAAAAACTGTATACTCTGTTTTTCGATAAATTGACTTACCGTTGATTTGGTAACCCTCAAACAGATAGTCTGTTTATTGGGTTGGGGTCCACTGAACCCGTGTCACCATTACGCTATTTTTTGGAGGTGCGACTATTACGGGTTAATTTTTGCCCGGCAAGGCCACTACTTCTAGTCCTACTATTGGGCCAAGTTTTAATTCGATATCTCAACTTTTCGAATTTTGGCCACAAAATAGGGTAAAATTTCCCATAGTGCGCTGTTTGCAAGTGGACTACTCATATGTATATTCATTAAAAGATAATTTGTCATCCGTCTGAAATAAAATTTTTTTTTTAATCAGAAGGATAAAATAGTAGTTTTATTAATTCAAAAATAAATAATTGTAGTTCAATGACGAAGGGGGAGCGGGGGGGGGGGGGGGGGGGGGTCTTCCCCCCCAAATGCCCCCCCCCCTGGCTACGCCACTGAAACTTATTTAGTCCATGCATTTGTTTTGCAAAATTTTAATACAAGTTGTCGCGTACTCAAGCTAAAACCACTCCAAACGAATAATATTCTACAATATTGATGAAAAGTTTTCTCAGTCTATTGGAGAATGCGTTAGGACGGTCTTGCTAGATAGCATCCTCAATCCGATTTTTGAAAGCATGTATTAATTGTCAGGCCCATCATTATTCACATCTTTGAATGGACTGATGAAATCTTCTGCTTAAAAAAAAAAATATTATTTCTAGTAGTTAGGCAGCATGAATTTGATGAAGTGTCATAATTTTATT